TTCCTTCCTTCCTTCCTTCCTTCCGTCCTTCCTTCCTTCCTTCTTTTTCTTCCTTCCTTCATCCACACATCCTTTCTTTCTTTCTTTTTTATCCTCAAATGGGATCGCCCAACACCAGCATGATGCCGACCAACAACATACTCATATAAATAAATCATTTCTTACCACCAATTCACATATTTTATCAATATTTTGTCCAGAACGTCATCAAGCAAATCGTCTGCTGGCGAGCTCATCTGACTCGTATAGTTGGAATTGAACACTTGGAGAGCGCTGAAGTTGTAGTCACAGCCTCGACTGACTGTTCCGTGAGGGTCTGGTACCGAGACACAGGTATAGTAATAGGAAATTATAACAAACCACAAATACCAGAAAAAACTTTTTTCCAGCTGATCTGAGAGAAGATGTTAGCCAGTCCGAATGGGACAAAATGTGCAAAATTAAGGTGTCACTTGTCTTCTTGAACTTATGGATTTCCAGGCCACCAAACGGGGGGAAAAAACGTTGCTAATAAGAGGTTGATAACATGATAACTAATCAGCGACTTTTATATATTTATATTTTATTTTATGGAAATATTTTATATATTAATTGTGAATTTTATATATCTATTTTACACTGGTGCATTTTTCACAGCGCCATGACACCTCAGTTTTCCAGTGACGTCATTTCTACGTCACTATTTCATATCAGCTGGCTGGTTATTCATTATCCTCAAAAAATATTATTCACGATTCTAGTTTTCTTCCTAGATATACAAACTTCTTCAGGCCCATTATTTATTTTAGTTGTTTGTTTCCAGGTCACTTTATTGGTTTCTTTGGGCAACCAAGGCTATGGCATCTCCCCAGTTCTAAATCAGTACCATCTACTCCTGTACGACCCTATGACATCACCGAGGTGGGTAATGCTCATTCTAATGCTATCCTTTACGGCCCCCTCCCCTCCTCCCCTTCCTTGCCAACCCCCTCCCCCTCCCCGACACCCGCCCACCACGCCCCAACAGTCCCTCTTTCCCTCTTCTTATCCCCACTACTTGTAGACTGCTACACAAGCTATAATTGCCGATAATATCTTATATAATATATAATGTCAGCGTTTTTGGGGAGTTGGAGTGTCAATGTTTTACAAATCATCCTTTTATTAATGATGATAATAAAAATAAACCTTATCACACGGCTCGTCACATTGGCCCCACCTACCCGCACATATTTCCCCCGTGCATTTTTTTTTTTTTTTTTGCCTTATTACTCTATAGCAATTTTTTTATATTTCTTTAAGGTTCCTATCAAGACGCTAAAGAACCTCTCTACTAAATCCATAACTGACCAAGAAAGTAGTGTTGACTGCCCTCTGATGTTTGATGATAACAGGTAGATTTTTGAAGTATGCTCGTTTTATCAGCTATTCACAGGTACCATTAAAAGCCCGTAGGATTTCAAAAACTTTTTAAAAACTTTTTAACCTTTAGCTCATTGGATAATTATTATAATTCTTATTATTATTACAGATGGTATCCGTTCCGCCATTCTGCTAAGGAAGAAACGAGGGCAAAAGGGAATGCAAAAAAGTTTTTCGATTCGTTATCAAAACCAAAGGTACGGAAATGAAACTGATATGCAAATACTACAGACGTTCTGCCTGTCTGTCTCCACTTAGATCCAGTCGTAAATTCTGTCTTTGCAGAAAATTATATATGTCTGTCTGTCTGTCTGTATCCACTTACATCCGGTTGTAGATCCTGTCTTTGCAATAAGATATATCTGTGTCTGACTGTCAGTCCGTCTGTCTGTCCGTGTGTCATACAATATTAACATGTAATATTCTTGTCTTATAGCACTACAATTCTCATCTCCAAAGTTCACGTACTGGGTCACCCGAGAATGGTGCCGTTTTTCGTGCTTTGCCTGTTTATAGGGTGAGTCAATCAGTCAGTCGGTCAATTAGTCGATCAGTCAGTCAGGCAGGCAGGCAGTCAGTCAGTTAGGCAGGCATTCAGTCAGTCAGTCAGTCAGTCGGTCAGTCAGTC